GGGGGAGGGGGGGTTTCCCTCGATATCGCGGGGTTTGGATCCTGTCCGGTCCTGTCGTGACACGGGGCCGGTTCCCGTCCCCAGCGCGGGAACCCGGTGCTCAAATTCATCCGCAACGTCCCGTGGGAATTCGGGGACATCGTCCCTGACTACGTCCTGGGCCAGAGCAGCTGCGCCCTCTTCCTCAGGTGAGCGGGGGGTCCCGGGGTCCCCAAATGTCCCCAAATGTCCCCAGAGATCCCCAGGTGTCCCCAGAGATCCCCAGGTGTCCCCAGGGATTCCCAGACCCCCCCCAGCTGTCCCCAGGTGTCCTCAGGGTGTCCCTCACCTGTCCCCAGGTGTCCCCTAAACCCTCCCCAGGTGTCCCCAGGTATCCCCAGGGTGTCCAGAGGTCCCCAGGTGTCCCCAGCTGTCCCCAGAGGTCCCCAGCTGTCCCCTGCCCCCTCCCCAGGTGTCCCCCGATGTCCCCTGACTGTCCCCATCCCCCCCAGCCTCAGGTACCACCACCTGAACCCCGACTACATCCACGAGCGGCTCCGGAGCCTGGGCCGGAGCTTCGGCCTGCAGGTGCTGCTGCTGCAGGTGGACGTGGTGAGGTGGCCTTGTCACATTGTCACCTGTGTCACTGTCACCTTGTCAGTGTCACCTGTGTCACTGTGTTACTGTCAGTGTCATTGTCACTGTCACTCCGTGTCACCCCATCCCTGTCCCAATGCAGGTGCTGCTGCTGCAGGTGGATGTGGTGAGGTGACCTTATGGCATTGTCACCTTGGCATTGTCACTGTCCCCAAGTTGGTTTTGTCACTCTGTGGCCCCTCCCTCTCCCCTCCCCATCCTCCATTCCCTGTCCTGGTGCCCCCGTGTCCCCTGACCTGTCCCCTGTCCCTGTCCCTGTGTCCCCTGACCTGTCCCCTCACCTGTCCCTGTCCCCGTGTCCCCTGACCTGTCCCTGTCCCCTGTCCCCTGACCTGTCCCTGTGTCCCCTGTCCCTGTCCCCTGTCCCTGTCCCTGTGTCCCCTGTCCCTGTCCCCGTGTCCCCTGACCTCTCCCTGTCCCCGTGTCCCCTGACCTGTCCCCGTGTCCCCCCACAGAGGGACCCCCACCAGGCTCTCAAGGACCTGGCCAAGGTTTGCCTCCTGACCGACTGCACCCTCCTGCTGGCCTGGAGGTAGCACCTGTCCCTGCTGTCCCCTGGTGTCCCCAAGTGTCCCCAAGTGT